ACCAGTTAACGGGCATAGTGTCTAGAGTTTATTTATAGTATTTAACACTACAAAAGGTGTGATATCACCCAAAAAACTTACCTTTTAAAAAAAAAGGTAAGAAATGCACCAAGTATAAGCTCCAATCTCTTCTGCAAAAGTATCTTCTCTACAAAAATATCTTTCCTGCAAAAGTATCTTCTTTACAAAAATATCTTTCCTGCAAAAGTATCTTCTTTACAAAAATATTTTTATAAAAATATCTTTCCAAAAATACCTTTTCAAAAATATTGTCTCTACAAAACTATCTTCTCTACAAAAGTAATGATATCATCAACAAATTACGCCAAATATAACAATGGATATTTATATATGTATAACGCGTATCTTTCTTCTACCGTAACCATTCTGTAAATACATCTCATTCGGGTAATAACGTATCGACAGCACCGATGAAAAGAATAGCAACTGTTTAGAAATTTAGAAACTCTGTACCTATTCAGGTGAATTAAGGCCTGTGTCCATGATGCTAGTACTTGGTCCAAGTTCTAATTCCGCGAAATATGTAGCCAATCAATATAGCTGTTCCACAAAAGCTGCAAGTTGATTGGCTACGCATTTCTCAAAACTAGAACTTGGACCAAGTACTAGCATCATGGACATAGGCCTTAATTCGCCTGAATAGGTACAGAGTTTCTAAATTTCTAAACAGTTGCTATTCTTTTCATCGGTGCTGTCGATACGTTATTACCCGAATGAGATGTATTTACAGAATGGTTACGGTAGAAGAAAGATACGCGTTATACATATATAAATATCCATTGTTATCTCTTATTACAGGAAAAACGTGTTGCGTGAAGACTCGGTCGTGGCATGGACGGCCAAATAGCGCATATACAGAGGCGATTTTTATTATTTCTCGATAATGGTTTTACGAAACGAAACTTTATCATATATGTTTGAATTCATAAAAAAATAACCTTTTGTTTGGTGGCAACAAAGTTTTAAAAGTTTTAAAAATTTTTGTGGGTGGGGGTATGTTGCAAAATTTTAAGAATTTACATTTTTTCTTTCGCCGTTTTGTAGTACTTTCGAAACCATTTACTTTAAAAAAAAGAGAACTTTCTATCTCTTATAGTTTCGGAGATATTCGCATCGAAAGAGAAAAACCGATTTTTTTCACAGGGGTGTTTCACCCCCTAAAAGCGCGTTAGGGCACGTATAAAAAAATACATGTCTCTTAGTTTTAGCTGGAAAACAACATATTCAAAGCTCATCCAAATCGGAGGACGACACTTTGAAACGGTCCCTTGTTAGTTATATTAGTTCTGTTTTGGTTTTGTGAGTTTTTATAACTGCAGAGAAAAATGACAAAAGTGTGTGCATATCCTGATTGCAAATCAGGAACTAGATGCGAAAGAAAAAAAAATAAATCGTTTAATATACCTAGCAAAAGTTTATTCAAATTCCCAAACAAGGTTCGTGTTCATTTAAAAATTTTTGGTCTTCGCACTTTCATGTCACATTCAGTATTATGAGAAATGTTACTACTAATCGATGGAAAAACAATAACAAATGTCACCGGATTTATTTTGTACACAATACACATGCACGATTTTAACTCTCCACCCTGCAATCTCTCCTCCTCCTCAACTTTAAGCCAATAGCCATCTGGTACCTGTGGCGACTAGCAGTTGCCCTTCTACACCACGACGTTGTTCATGGTCGTTGGTGGCGCTGTCCGAGCGGGACAGAATAAGACACAGTCGTTACCAGGAGGTGGACACTCCCATGTATTTTTCTTGGACCGTTGTGTCGCCATCTGGGCTATGCAGCATACATTCGGAACTAAAATCGATGTGACATGTATCGATATATATCGATATATATTAATATATAGCTATAGCTCAAACGTGTGCTTTGTACTTTCCATTTAAAAGTAAAATAAGGACAAAAATGATTATTGAAACAAGAAACACTGAGAATTTTGCTAGCAAACAAAATAATTTATATATTTCAATAATGAGAAGCAAAATTTTCTGTTTCTTGTTCCAATAATCATTTCTGCAGTAAGAAACTATTATATATTTTCTAGAATAAAAGAACACAAATGTTTTTATAAACATATAAATATATATTTTTTCATTATACATAGAGACACATATACCATATACCATATACATATAATATATATTATCTGTGTAATGAAAGCATTAATAATAATTAATAATAAAGTACAATAAACACTACCTTAAAATTGATATACAGGGTGGGGCCAAAGTTCCGGAACGGCTAAATATCTAACTGTAGCCTAATTAATAATAAAGTACAATAAACACTACTTGAAATAAAATTAAGTTTTTCGAAAAACGCAATTAATATAATAATAAGAATGATACGGAGTCGTTTTAGCCAATCTATAAACGATATTCAAATTTTATTTTTATTTTTTTTCCGACACCTTGCTTGTGCGGATATAAGGACAGGATTTGTAACTAGAGACATGCATTTGCCATTGAGGCATCTGTTAACTGTAGCGCAAAATTTTTTAAGACAAGAACTAATAGTAGCAGTCAATATTTAATTTCTTACTTGTGCCTCATGTTGTTGACATTTGATGAAATTAACGTCGTATTTCTTTTCCATTTCACATTTAATATTTTTCTGGATGTTAGACTTGAAGTAACATTTCTTCAGGTGATGCATTTCTTCACCAAAGTTTCTATCGTTTGCAGTGTTTGTTCCAAGTCTGCACCGTCCGTTACAGTTGCTTTGCATGCAGCACAGTACTTAAATGGTGCTTTTACTAACAAGTCCTTCCTCAATAATGCACTGTATGCACTTTCATTTCGCAAATGATTCTTTTTATTTCTTTCTTCTGGGGTTTCGACGATACGAGCACTTTCTTCTTCTTCAACCTCATCATTCTTAGTATCATCTTCACTTGCTTCAGTAATGAAATCCTTTAAAGAGAATAATAAATGCCCATCACAAATATCTTCGCAGTTTCGTTCAATTGTATGCCGTGATGATAAATTATTGATGAGCAAGATTTTGTATGCTGCACAGAAGTTAGTGCAAGTGGGATTAATATTCCTGCAACCTGTCGAGCGTATGCATCCGAAGAAATTTTCCAAAGGGTCTTGATTGATGTAACGTGGCCTCAATTGTTTAAAGCCCTTTTTCTTCCAAACTCTCCATAAATATTGGAAAGCTTCAAGAGTTTTAATCCAATTTTTTAAACATAAATATCCTGTCAGTGGTTTCTTTGAAACAGGATGTACATATCTCATTGCCTTAATATACGGTATGGCATCCTTCCAAAATGTGTGATGGGCACTATTCTCTTTAATTATTGCTCGCAAAGGTGCTTCTGGTTTTGATGTATATCCATTAACTGAATCAAATAAATTGTTGAAGAACTGCAGCACTTCGCCCATTACAACTGCTTCTTCTTTAGGTATAGTTAAAGGCCCTATTTGCGTATCGATATGCCCTGAAAAAGTATGTCAAGTAATGGTTATAAATTAACAAGTACTTATGTTGTTTCCATTCGTTAGCATTCAGTTACATACGAAAAATGTTTACCTTGTATAGTAATATAGCGCTCGGAACACTCGCTAGTGTGTCTCGGGATGGGCAGGAAGTAATAAGACTGTCTCTTTGCACTCTGATCTTTATATCTACGTATATCACTCTTCACACTACAACACGTCTTTACACGACAAGAGTCGAGAGTCGGACTGTCTCGACACCACGCAGCGCCACGCACACATACGCGGCGCGCCAGTAGTAGCTCTGCTGTACGTGAGCTGCCCTCTGAGGGCGGGAGCACATCGCTCGCCCAAAGCCTTTTCCGCAACACTCCCTCCCTTTGTGCGAGCGGCTTGTGACTTCTCTCTAAGATTCTTCTTTATCTGAAACACAACAATAATCAGTTTTTCAAGTAAAATTAATCTCTAACTTTATTTAACTCTATATTCATTATGTTACTTCTTAGATATGTAAATGCTTCTAAAAGTAAAGGTTTCGTCATAATGTCTGCCAAATTCTCTTTGGTCTCAATCCATTTGACTATCACCTTTCCTTGATCAACACACTGTTTAATAAAATCTCCATGAGGGTCAACCATATGTTTTCTGTTTCCCGTTTCTTCTCTCTCTTCCAGATTTCTCTTTATTTCCTCTAAGTTGTCATCAAACATTTTAAGTTTGTGACTTCCATCCTTCTTAGTGCAGTTTCCTGCTGCTCTGTTGTCACACCAGACTGTTGCAGGTAAGAATGTTCTTCGAACAACATATCTGAGCGACTTGTCTAATGAAATTACTTCTTGACAGGCTTCGCTCATTGCTAAATACTCTGCTTGACAAGTAGAGAGTGTAACATATGTTTGTTTATGACTTCTCCATGCTATCACAAACAATTTGATTATATATCCTCCAGTGGATGTAGAATCAAAGCAATCTCTAAAACTGGCGTCTGTCAGTGACTCTAAATTATCTGTTTTACCTCTAAATGTCAATCCTTGATTCACAGTTGCTTTAAGATATCGGAAGACTCTCTTTACATCTTGCCAATCTTCTTCCGTGGGTTCCAACTGTCTTCTTGCCAAGTAATTCACTGCAAAAGCTATGTCAGGTCGTGTAGCATTTGCCAAATACATTAGGCTTCCTATAGCTTCTCTATAAGGTACTCTTCTAATTTCTCTTTCAGTACTCTTTTCTTCTAATTTACTCTTTTTGTTTTTGTTGCTCACTTTTCTGGTGACCATTGGAGTACTCTGAGGCTTGCATTCATTCATATGGAACTTCTCCAATACACTCTCAGTGTATCGCATCTGATGAATGTACATATATCTTTCTTCTTTGTTTCGCTCTATTGTTATTCCCAGAAAGTTCTTGGGTTCTCCAAGATCCTTTGTCTCAAATATTTCACTCAACTTCTTTTTAATTTCCTCAAATTTCTCCTGGTCATTACTCGCAACCAACATATCGTCCACATAAAGTAGTACGATCACTACTTTGCCTTCTTTCCTCCACGTGAACAGACATGGTTCATGCAGATCATTCTCCAATCCGAGTTTCTTGGCCTCTTCTGAAAATCTCTTATTCCATCTTTTTGGGTTTATCTTCAATCCGTATAAAGCTCTATTTAGTTTACACACCTTGGTCTTCTTGGTGTTTTCATTTACGTCTACTCCGTCTGGAATTTCCATATACATATATCTCTTCTTCTAAAATTCCATTCAGAAATGCAGTCTTTACATCTAATTGACAGGTGTATAAATTATACTTGTTTATTATTACCAGTACAGATCTGACCAGCGACAATCTCGAAACCGGTGCATATGTCTCTTTCAGATCATACACATTTCTGTCTTTACATCCTCTTGTCACCAGTCTCGCTTTGTATCTGGTTGATCCATCTGCTTCTAACTTTCTCTTAAATACCCATCTTGAATCTATTATGTTAGCTGATTTACCATTCAACATCTTAGTCGGTCTGTCAACAAACGTCCATACTTGGTTTATCTCCATAGACTCAAGTTCTTCTATCACAGCGTTTCTCCAGTTTTCTCTTTCGCCGCTCTTCATAGCTTCTTCATATGTCGAGGGCTCTTTATGTAGTGATGCCAGAAGACATCGACTCAATTCATCTCTATTCTCTGCGTTCTGCTGGATATCTTTCACAGTAGTGTAATCAGCATAACTAGTATCCTCTATTGTTCTCCGAACATTAGTGTTTTCATTATCTTCTAGTTTTCTTTTGGTTCTACTTCTAGTCATTGGAATTTTACTTTCCTTTCGTTTGACCTCCTGCTTCTGTACATCTAATTGCTTCGATTGTTTTCTCGGTCTTCCTCTTCTCCTTTTCTCAGGAATCTCTTGTTCTTGTTTTCCCTTTTCCTCACCTTCTACGAATTCTGTCATCCAATTTTTATCTGAGTCTTTTTCTTCTTCTAG